CTCGCTCATGCAAACCTTGCAAGTCAAGGACCCCACAATAAGGTACCCCTTATTTTCGGAAACATTTTCCCCTAGATAGTAGGATCCTTATTATAAGGACCCCCAAATAAGGTACCCCTTATTTTCGGAAACCCTAAACCCCTAAACCCTAAACCCTAAACCCTAAACCCTAAACCCCTAAACCCTAAACCCTAAACCCTAAACCCACATTTTCGGCTCTGGAGGCTTCGGGTCCCTCAGATCGACGCCCGCATCAGGCCTTCACCTGGGAAGTCTTCTGCGGACACGACCATGGGAGGTTCCGAAAATGAGGGGTACCTTCTTTTGGGGTCCTTATAGTAAGGATCCCATTATTTAGGGCACTATATTAAGGTCCCCTATTTTCGGAAACCCCCACATGAAGCAGCAACCGCTTAGTGGCTCAGTGGCGTAGGCTGGGTGAGAAGCCCTTATATTGGGGTCCTTATAATCAGGATCCTACTATCCAGGGTACTATATTAGGGCCCCCTATTTTCGGTATACAGATTTTGGGGCTTGGGGAGGTATGGAGAGAGACGAAGGGCGATAGCAGGCCAGGCTTGACTCGGCACCAGGCTTCTTCAATCACCTCCTTCTTCCACCCGAACCAGGAGGCAAATCGACCTTACCACAAAATACTCTGAGCGAGTTGTCAAATAGCGATGGACTATGAGGCTGCGCCTATTCGGCTTTTCTCCTCCTCGCGCTTCTGCCGCTGCTGCTCCTTTTTCTTGGCCAGCCTGCGGCGCACCGCTCAAACTCGTGCCAGGGTCCCGAACCCCCCTTCCAGAACGCGCAAGTTGTCACTTGCAGTCAGAATTGCTTAGCATCGACACTTTAGTTACTCGCGTGGCACGCAGGCCTTGCAGAGATGCTGGGATCGTCGTCATACTCCTTGTAGAGTCTTGCTGACGAATCTAGACTAGAGAGTCTGGAGTTTTGGAAGGAGGCATTCCCGAAGCGCGACTCTCGAGATCGGCAAAATCAGTCGTGTCCTGAAGCCTCCTCTGGTCCAGCCAGCTTTGCTGAGCGAAGAAGGTCCTGGCATTTGGTGGAGCTGGCTCTGTTAAGTTGCCAAAGCACTTTAAATCCCAGTACCAAAACGATGTACAGAAAAAAGACTCGCGATTCGTTCACTTCTGACTTTCAGCATCGCACGATGCAGCGATGGTGGGCATCTGCACCAAACCTACTTGACCGACCAAATCGCGCCCGGCGACCAGTGAGGAGCGGAAAGTTCGCCTGAAACTACTGTGCACAACCAGCCCTGCAACGGCTGATGTGTCTTTAATATGCATGCATGTGTGCATGCATGAGTACACATGTAGTCACTTATGGATGCATCCATGCATGGCATTGGTAAGCAAGCAAGCAAGCAAGCAAGCAAGCAAGCAAGCAAGCAAGCATGCAAGCCAAGCATGCATGCATGCCTGCCTGCATGCATGCATGTATGTGTGTGTTACACACACACACACATATATATATATATATATATTTGCGTATTTATTTATTTATTGTTTGTCTATTTATGCATGCATGCACTCATGCATGGATGCATGTATGTATGCGCGTACGCACGTACGTACGTACGTAACGATATGCATGCGACCCTGCAAACGTCCATGTGCATAAAGTGCGATGGACCGTAGACGGACCGATCCGCCAGCACGACACAGATATGCAGGTAAGGCACCATGCACGCGAAATATCTGCAGCTCCGAGCGAGGGGGGCTTAAATCGTGATATGAAACTGAGGTTGGACAGTCTGCGGGTAGACACGCCCGTCTCTGTCTGGCGGGCTTAATTACTCTGTCTGTTGTGCTCACACCTTGCGGTTTCTGGATTTGCTGACGACCGCGGCGGTGCCTTTTGCACTTCCTCAGCGTCTCCGCTCTGATGCCCCTTTCCGGACAGAAAACCGCCACGATGGTGCTTTCGGTCTTGAAACCTATGCTTGGCCCCCTGCTCTGCGATCAGTCCAACCAAGTATCTGAGTATATCTGAGAATCGAAAACTGCGTGGCTGAGATCCTCAGAGTCGTGGGCTTGTTGTGGGATGACTGAGAGTGTTCACGGTGGCGTATGATGGCGTAGGGTATGGTAGCCTGCCCTCCCGGAGCCCTGCTCAAGGTGCAAGGAAATTATATGCCCGCGGGGTTTTTCGTCACTTTCTACCGGTTACTGCTGTATAAGGAGTGAACAAGTCAGGGGACAAGTCTTCGTGCCCTTGAGCTCGCCGGAATAGTCTCTGCTCGGAGATACTATCGAACACGGCAGACACCTCGCTATTCTTATTCGCCGACTTCTCCGGTTCTGTGTGCATGTTTGTGCTCGGGCGCAGGTTTTTCAAAACTGCAGACTCCAGTACTTGCTGTCATCATGTTGACATTCCGCTGAAAAACAAAATCACCAAAGGAGAATGCCGGGGAGCAGTCAAGCAATGAAGCAGTCTTCTATTTGTCTGAGCATCTTGCCTTCTTGTCGCTCGGCACCATGCCCTTGCAAACAGAAGCTAACTTGCACAAGCAAGTTGCTGTTCTGTCTACTCGCTTTAGCAGCTTTAGGACTTTAGGGAGTCGCACGGACCAGGCTGCAAAGAGGCACCACCGAGTTCCGGGCGCTCGGCGGCACCTGTCAGTCGTGCAGGAAACACAGAAGAATAGCCGGGCTAAGCATCTTTGAAGCTAGTCAATAACGCACACCATGCACACACATTCCTCATGACGGGAACTACGAAAGGTGCTCAACTGCCTTGGTCGAGTTCGTCGTCAAGGTAACCTGGAACGGCATCTGCCTGTACAGGGAATTAGACAGTTCCTCCAACTAACATAAGATCAACCACAGACAAGCCTTTGCGCGAAGACATTTTACGAGACAAGCACGTTTGCCACCACGGCTCAGGGGCTCTGACATGTACATCCTCGAAGCTGAGTTGGGTGCACTGCAACCCAATATCAACATCTTCCGAAGAAGTTGCGCTTTGCACCAGGTTTTCTGCGACCTCGTCATCGCAGGGTCCACGCCAAAGGAAATTGGTCATAGGGCTGTAAAGGCCGTCGTTGACAACAGGCGCACCGATTGCTGCGAGCTGAGCACGAATCTGGTGAGTCCTGCCAGTGTGAAGATCCAGAAGCATCTCCTGCGACCCATCCTCTACCGATGTTGTTGACAGAATTGTCGTCCGGGCCTTCCTCCACTTGTGCCGGCTGTCTTGCACCGGAGCACTCAAAGGAGCAACAAGGCGCGGCGCAGGCCTGCCAAAGACTGCATCCGAGAGCCAGTGCTCCAACAACCCGTCCACCTTCGCCTTCACGCCCGATTTAACGACGGCTCGATAGCGCTTCGTCACTTGTCCGTCACAGAGCAGCTTTCTGAATCGCTCCGCAGCCTCCCTGCTTCTCGCAAGCAGAGTTAACCCCGAGGTTGCCACATCCAGCCTTTGGCAGGCAACGAGGTCTTCAGCTCCCGAGCTTTTGCCTCTCGACCCCCGACCAGCTATTGAAAGCGCTGCTGCAACCAGAGGAACAAGCCATTCCCCTTAGCTTTGAGGGAAGTTCATCAGCTACAGCTAAGCCAAGCGTTGCAAGATGTTGCATTCATGTGGATTGCCCACAACCAAGACCCTATTTCTCTTTCATCAAGCACTAAATCGACGTGCTGCAACGGACCTGTTGGTACAAGTCTCGACCATTACTAACGTGAGGTGCGCAGGGCACGCCGGCAGGCTTGTCCACGACAACATATTCCGGGCTGACATACAGCAAACGGTCGGCCCAATCGCAGCCTTCCGCAGAGCATCTGCGATATCGCTTTGGCTCAGTATGCACCCGCAGCTCCCCACCACGCTCGACCATCGTCTCCTGCAGGCCCCGCCCAGTGTCAAGAGCTGCAGGTTCAAACTTTCCGTGATATGACTACGCAAGACACAGCTCCTGTACCAATTGCCTCTGATCACATTGCACCGGAAGCAGCGTGCTGCCCAGCCGCTCGAAACGGTATCCCTCCGGGGGCATGTAATACACGGCACCTGGCCAACAGCAACAGCAACCCCACCTAAAGCCCAAACAACGCCTGTGGAGCACGGCATCAGACAGCACTCCAAAAGCGCAGTACTTCCTTTAAAGCCGACATAAAGCAGACATAGAATCATAGAATTGTGTATACTATACCCCAAAAAAACCCTATTCGGTTCTTAAGGCGGCCCAGTAGCCCAAGGCCAGGAGCTCCGCTAAGGACTCGCCGCTCCAAGCGGGAAGGAGATTTCGCAAAGACGAGGAGATGGAGGCCGTCTGATTCACAGCAGCGTAGATCACCTGAGGAGTCGTTTCTTCGGTGCTTTCTGGGTACCGAATCTACCTTTATATGCCTTATATAAGCCTTATAGAACCCTAAACCCTAAACCCTAAACCCTTATAGAAGCCCTATATATCCTAAACTCCCCACCTGTGATTTCCTACGACTCGATTTTTAAGGGCTCTTGGAGCCAGGAAGCTCCAGGACTCTGCAGCCGCTGCCTCTCGGAGAGGCCCTGCAGGGCCAGGAAACCCTGGTTGCACTCTTTAGGGTTTAGGGTTTAGGGTTTAGGGTTTAGGGTTTAGGGTTTAGGGTTTAGGGTTTAGGGGTTCATGGGTAGTTATAAGTGGGGTTGTAAGTAGGGTAACTATAAGTATAACCCATATAAGTAGGGTAGCTATAATTATAACCCATATAAGCAGAGAAGTAGGGTAACTATAATTATAACCCATATTACGGGACTTATGGCTTCACCTATGACCTATGCGGACCTAGGCCTGACCCAGAAGTCTGGTTGCACGGTCAGACGGTGAAGTGGGAAGACACCACGTGGGCGAGGTCTGGAATGCATTCCCGAATCAGTAGGGTTTAGGGTTTAGGGTTTAGGGTTTAGGGTTTAGGGTTTAGGGGCTGCAATTAAAGCAAACATCGAGCTTATTCCGCACATCCCCGCACCTTGTCTCTCGACGACTTGGCTCGGGGTCTCGGCGGCGGCCGGTAGGCAACCACCACGAGTGACATCGGCAGCAAGCAAAGTGCGGTTCGTGAAAGGACCACCATGAAGGCTGCACAAGTTCCGGTCAAACGCAAAATAGTGCTGTGAAGCCATCAGGCGAGATGTCTGTGACCAAGAGTCGTCACTTGCTTCCTAAAGTTGCAGTGTCTCGTTCTGCACTTCTATGTCGTTGAAAAAGTCGCACAGGCTGGGAAATCTGCTCTGTGCTGCCCTCTAGTTCGCAGAGCTACAGGAAGGGCCACACAAATCCACATGCAGTTGACTAACGTTTCAATATCGAGGCCATCCAGCTGCGGCCGTCAGTGGCGCAGGTGAGCGAAATCACCGAGATCAATGGGATCTCCAGAAATGAATGACCCGGCGCAGGTCTTTGCGGGATGACGGATGCTGGTGAAGCTTGGGGGTCGCATGAGATTCGATCGGCTTCATGTCACTACAGGGTCTTGCAGAGACAGCTAAGCGGTTTAGTGTCCGTGGACCCGGGTTGGGGCACTGTCAGGAAAGCCGCATAGAACTCTCACCCGAGGCTCGGAAGACTCGCTAAGACCGCGATGGTACCAGCGTTACAGATCCTCAGAAATGAAAGAAGCCAGGCGTAGCTGCTTCTACCACGACGAGAACTGCTACTACACCAACGAGCAAGACTTTGCCAGAGTGCACCCATGAATCATCACCATCATCAACAGTGCCTTGTGGTTGCGACACGTTGCTACTGCTGCCGCTGTCGCAAGGACTACACACCCTCTCAATCTTGAGTGTGCCTCGGATTCGAATTTTCATCTGCCCTGCAATGCACGCAATGCAGGCTTCCATTCACGGCCTAGGGCTGACGTTCCAGGGGTCTGCAGAAGTTGCAAGCGGTGCATGCTCTTGCATGACCAGCCGATCTGGCAACGAAATAACAGGCCCGTACGTAAACATTTGGCCTATGTATTGGAAATCTGCGCCTGGGTCAGTGCCTCTGCAGCAAGCTGTCGAAAGACATCCGGTTCAATAGCAACAGCATGATCCTGGCACTGTCAGGAAGCAGCCAGATGAGTGCTCAGACTCGCACGAGAATAACGCCCGCCTGTTCCTCAACTTCGAGCAATCTGTCCAACTCCAAGTCTGCTTGTGCAGACGGAGCTGTTCTCTTCCTGAATTGTCACCGTGGAGCTTTTCCAAATATAACAGATACCATGACTATAAGTTGATGAATCCTGCTTGAGTGCTCGGTGAAGATTTCCTGCCCTGCATCATTGGTCTCAATCTCCTGAACGTCAGCCAAACTCAAGCAGCACTGTCGAGGCTGTAACAAGGCCCAGTGACTATCCAGGTGCAACGCACAGTGCATCTCTAGCCTCGTCGGACATGTCCGGGAGCGACGTCATCTCTTGCGGAATGCCTCCTCAGAACTTTGCATTCAAAATGTCAACATCCAAGCAAAGACCTGGACTCCTAGCTGTTCACGGTTGTGAACAAGTGCATTCATGCAGTCCTTCATTCCTGCGTTCAGTTGCTCCCTCAGCCCTTGACTGGCTAATGCATTCATTCTTTTCTATGAGTCCTGCCTCTAGATCGCTCTTTCAGGCTGCAACTTTGTCGGACATCGGACCCCAACCAGGCAAGGCGCACATTCAGTACGATACCATGTGTTACGATATGATATAGCATGATATACTAAGAAACAAGATGATATGATATGATATCGTATGATATTGCATGGTCTCATATTAACTTATGATGTAAAATTGAGGGTTGTTCTATATCCTTGTTCCACGCATGCCAATTAGGATCCCTTGAACTTCGCCCTTGCGCGTTCCTTGGGCTTGCTTGCGCGCGCGAGGTTTTTGAAGACTGTGGCTTGTTGATCCTTGGTGGCTTCGAGTCTAAACCTTCGGCTGTGGGTAAAACACGGGGGCTTCAAGGCTTATCTACCTACAACGCTGCTCAGTATCACTCTTGAACCAACCTTAACAACAAGCCTTGAGCATAGCTTGCACTCGCCCTTGCGCGCGATTGAAAGGGTTTGCACTTTTTAAGCGACCGAGTTTTCGCTAATCGTCCTCCTAGTATTGTCAAGAGAACCCACCAAAAAGAACAACGCTC